AAACCACCTAATCCTGAGACACTCTCAGGAACTTGTGGTATCAAATGCTTTAAAGGGGGCAAATTCACAGTCAGGACAGACTGCACCCCATCTTTAGAGGCAAACAGGGAGGCCCTCAAAGGCCAGAGTAGATATAACCGCTGAATTTTAACTGAAAGGCTGTCTTACTGCATTATGAATTGACAGCCCAAAGGCTTACAAGTGTTGTTTGCTTTAGCAAAGTCTAAAAGTGCACTTGAATTCATTGTTGAACTATGACCTCTCAGATTCAGAAGATAAAACTGAATAAGCAGAATATGAAGTAAATCTCATGACCTTTGCTTCCAACTAAAATGCTTCTATCCTATTTCTCCAGTGGTAGCAGTCAGTTAATTTGCTTATGTTGCTGTTCTAACAGAGGAATTACAAATGTGTTCTCTTTTCACAGTAACTTTGGGTTATGCTGGATACATCACACTTGCTTTTGATTGAGAAAAGCGGATGCCATGTTGTCAGTCACTCTGTTTACACAATGCTTTTCATCATAAAAATTTATACCATTCTCTCTATTGGCAATGGTTTACAAGAATGATACGTGGAAATACTCACATAATAGAGGCCAGGAATCTCTTTAGGAGCTTAGGTGAAATTGCGACTGTGCTTGTTTACACCAATTAGCAAACTGGCCCTCCAGTATAAGTCCAAGGGGACAATAAAATTCTTTAGAATAGCTTTAATTCAGCAGCAATGTTCCTATCTTCCCGCTGCTACCTTCCAAAGGCAAGTGTTTATGTTTATTCTGAATTCTCTGTCAGAAAAAAACCTAACAGGTAAATGATGCTGCCTCTGCCATCAGGAGGAGGGTGTTGGGAGCAGCATAATAGAACAACGGACAGCCTATTATGACACTCCTGGGACCTGGAGGAAATCAGTTCAGCGCTTACCACTAGAGAAAGATTTAGGGTAAAAGAATCAATTTACACCACACAACTTAGGCTTCAAAAGGATAAAACTGTCCTTTCCAAGTCCTTAGCTGATTGTAGCGGACAGGAGAAATGAAGTGTCACTAATCCTCTTGCTCCTTTCCCTGGCTGTTTGAGGAGCACAGATCTCTTATCAAAGGCCTCCTGCAGGCAGGTGAATCTGTCTGCAGTGACAGTGGGGCTCTGCATTGTAGCCACATAACAAAGTGGTGGTCCGGTTCAGGGTCTGCAAAGGTTAGGTTTTTGAAAGAAAGTATGTCCTTTCAGTTTCAGGATAAAAGCCTCTGAATGCCTTGTTTAGTTGGGTTAGGATTTAAATAATAATTAACATTAGATTTGGTAGTGGGACCATGAATTCTATTCTTCTTTTTATCCTTCAAGTTTTTGCAAACTTCACAGTCTAAGGAGGACTTAATTCTTAGTTTACAATTTGCTACCTTGTGTGTTGGATTATTTATTGTTGTTGTTGTTTGGACAAAATGACATGATGCAACTGAAAACTGCTAGGATAGCATACGCTAGGACAGTTTTACCAATAGTAAATGTGGCATGGGTACCTGCAAGTTCCCTGGTTGTTCAGAGTGTTTGGGGTGACCTGACTGGGCTGTGCACTGAGGACAATGGGCATCCCTGCATGCAGGGTCTGTGCCCTGCCCCAGGCCTTGCCTCATGCCTTGCCTCACCTTCGTCAGAAAGCTATTTTTAAGAGATATCCTGTTTGGACTTATTTCTGCTGGGCCAGCCACAAAACAGTTGAGCCATTGAGAGCAGGAGGTGGAGGGGGTGATGTGCACATGAGCGGGAAGGAACACTGCAAAGACAGCATCCAGCTCGTGGAGAAAGGCATTTTAACTAGTCCAGTTCTTTCCGGCAGGCTCCCACTGTGGAGCAAGATCATGACCCTTGTTCTTTCTCAAGCAGACATATTTTCAATTAAAGCTACCTCCTTAACAAAAAGGGTACATATTAGAAAGGGCAGGCTGGGACATGTGATGGCTCCTTCAGGCTCTTCCCCTGCAGCATAGCTCAAACAATGGCCTTAGGCAAGGCTGCTTACCAAAAGGGGAAAAAAGTTTCTCTTTCTACCTTTCAAGACAAGACAAAGGTGGACGGCATTTTTCCTCTGATAGTTGGGTTTTTTTCTCTATATAGATATCCCCTGTTACAGTTCAGCCAGCATTAGTATGTCCATTGTAAACTTGTTTGGGTGAAACATCTGATTAATCTTATATGGTTCCTTCGGAGAAAATTGCATATAATTTATAAATGGCAGCGTGGAGAAACTTTTGGTTTGGAAAAAAAAATCCCATACAAAAAAAAACAAACAGAGAAGCTGTAACATTTCCTTCTATGTGGTGTCCCAGAGATGTCAGTTGTATATCCCCTATTATCCTGGTCACTGGCTGACCACTGCTCTGGCCTCATCAGCTCTTGAGTTGGTCTGAATGGCTTGGTCTGAAAAGCCTGCAAAGCTGGTTCCTTTCACAGCCTCACTGTCATACTTACTGGGACAGGCCTGAGGGTAACCCTCAATAAATCTTCTCTAAGAAAACCATTCTGTTTCCTTGTTTCTCTGGAACTACCCCTTCATTTCATATTTTTATTAAGTTCCATATTACTGAGAGCACTGGCCTCTCTGAATTCTTTAAAGACCTGATAAGGTGGAAATAAATAAGATGCATTTATGGATTCATCCTCCTTGCTCTCAGTAACTAGTACAAATACATAGATCTTGGCACAGCAGCAAAGGACAAAAGAGCAGGTGTAGAGAGTCTGGCCAAAGACCTGTCCAACCCCATATGCTGACCCTGGCAGTTGTCAGATGTTGATACTGGTCTACATGCTCTCTCCAACCATTTCCTCACCACTCTTGGGACAGGGACAAAGTCTGACTTCCATCCTCTCTCGCTTCCCCTTCAGACGTCTGCTTCTCTGGAGGCTTTTTTGCTTCTGTATGATATTTTCGACTTCTGCTTCCTAAAGTATTTTAACAGTTACTTTATTGCAGTTGTGTAAATTTGGCAGTGCTTTAAACCTAGGCCCTGTGAGAGTGCTTTATAGGTGCAGCTGTTTATAGCTGTGACTTGGTTTCACTACTCCACTGAGAGTTATGAGCCTATTCTACAACCATTCAGCTTCCTTAGGAAGGGTACACCATGAGAACCAGATATTCCATTTATCTCTACAGGATTACCCTGCACATCCCCCTTCTATGTTTTCCCAATAAAGAGTTCAATGTTGCATGTAATGCAGATGAAACATCGCATCCCACCTGTGATTTACCACCTTCACTAGTCTCTCATTTTCAGAACAAATGCCTCTCCCAGCAAGAAGATGTCACTTCAAAGACCCTTGAAGTCACTGTGTCCTACAAGATGCTGTCTTGCCAAGGCTGAGACTGTGGTGCAACAGCAAAGGAACAGAGTGTGTGGAGGACAGACAGAACTAGTAAATTATGAATGTTTTGATCACAACCCAAAACAGAAGTTTTCTAAAATTTAATACCTAAACTTTTTTTAAACAGATTGCTTCCACCTGCTGTGATTTTTAAGAGTCCCGCAACATTCTGTAATAAGGAGCAAAGGAGAAAAGAGAACAGGTTCTCTGCTATAAAACAATAAGGAAGTAGACATTTAACAAATCTTTGAGGTACAATCCCTGAGACATAACTTGAGTTATTCTTTTATAGTGGTTATGGAGAAGCAATAGTTGTATGGACTATGAATAACACAATCCCTGATGTTCACAGAGTTTGCTCCTGGTCTCCAGGAGGAAATGCCCTTCCACTCTCCAAAACTGCAGCAACTCAAGAGCTGTTCTACCACTGACTGTCAGCAAGCTTTCATTTCAGTTAGAGGGCCAAAATATTGTCAAATGAAAACGAATGCTGTCATAAGCAAATTTAATGTTTGTATTTACAGCAAACAGTTCTTCCAGTGCTGATTAGGACATGGGTCCATCTGCATCTGGCTGGTCACTCCATCATATTTTGTGTAAGGCCTGTGCAATTTAATGGAAAACTTAGATTTGAAAGCAAGTTCTAATTTCCTCCTTCCTCTGCTTTTTCTTTTTTTTAATATGCAGTATTTGCATTCCTTGTGATTTCTTAATTCCCATTAAGAAGAAAACATAATGTTGTTTTATGTTACTGAATAGATTGGTAGTTGGGTTCTTTTGTTTTAGTTTGGGGTCTTTTGTTTGGTTTTTTTTTCTTACTTCTCCTCAGCTTTTAAAAGGTTTCATACACACAAATTGGCTTGTAATCCATCCTGAAGCGATTCCAGCATGGAGTTTTCGTAATAAGTTGCACTCACTGAGTTGAAACGATAACTTCAAATTACCAGTCGGGGAAAAAATATATCTCTTTCTATTTGGATTCCTCCCAATAGATAATGATGATTAGACTTGTTTTAAAGTAAGAATATAAAACTCAGACACCTATCAACTTCTTTCATAGGTGCTACTGCAGAAGCAAAATAACTTCAGGAAACAGGAAGGAATTTGCTTAGAGGGGTGTTACAGGACACAAGAAAACTAAATGCTCTGCAGATTTATATGCCCATGCTTTTAGGTTTTTCTAAATGTAGAATATGTTATATTGAATTATGTACCCATACACCTGTTTTGTTAGGGTTTTTTTGTAAATCCAGTAATACTAATTGTTCTAGTACACATCACTCTGTGAAGCTCTTCACAGCAGCTTTTAACTCCCAGTTTTGTGCTTTAATAACAATACCATCTGGCTGAGATTTTCAGACTTGCCTCTGGAGATTGAAAGACTGTTTTTTTCCATTATAACTAATGAGATTTGGGTGTCCAAAATCTCTGGGCAGCTTTGAATACATCATCTGCATCTTTTTGGTTTCAGAAGTACTTGGAGACTTTCAAAAGGAAAAGCCATTAAGCTGACCTGAAATGATAGGATGCTATGCAGTCTTATGCTCAACACTAGTTTCTGTGTAAAGTGGCCAAAGCTTGCTCAATTGTACCTGAAAGGTAATGTGGTTGGCTTGGTTAAGAATGAACGAACCTCTTGAGGACCTTATCAAGTACATTTAATTTTTATTCCAGAAATAGTTAACCAGAAGACCAGAATGATATTTTTTGTTGTCAGTATAAAAGCAACATTTTTCATATCTTACATTAGAACAAAATTTGGTACTCATAAAAGTACATCATTTCATGGCTGGGCTTCACGAACGAAGATTTGGGAAGGGCTCTACCCACGTTTGTTGCAAGCGCGTTGAAAGTACATAAACCTCTGGAAACCTTCAGTAGCAGCAGTTATCTGTGTTATTACAAACGTGCAATAATTTGCTTCAAAATGCTATGCACAGAGCGTGGCCAGACTTAATGTCATAGTCCAAAATCTTCCCATGATCCCAAACAACAAAATCTCTTCCATATTTATAGAAGAGATGAGAAAAGAGGGCAGGACGTTGCTCCTAGTCATCTTGCAGGCTGCATTTCAGCTGTGAGGGAAGACCTTAACTGTCCCTTCTTCATCACTCCTGGCAATGACAGCTTGGAGGCTCCCACAGATGGAACAGCTGGACCCAACTGTGCTGGGGAATCACACTTGAATTGCACATGGCTCAAAAGCCACCCTCTGATCTCTTGGTTCTTAAGCAAACTGCTAAATAGATCGAGAGCATAAATGCTGCGCTAAATTATTTCTATCCTGTGGGTAAGTAAAGCCTGTCTGATGGCAGTTGTATTTCATGAACATCTGCATGAGAGCCTTCAGCATTTATTGTGAAGCATCGCTTAATAAAAATTGGGTAAAAATAAAGATTTGTAAGACAGAATTCACAATGTTCTCTATCTACTGCATGAGAATCCTTTCAGCAGAGGTAAGAAAAATGGGCTCACTAAAATAGTAACTGATATAAAAAGGAAGTGGCTTCATGTAGAGGACAGCTATTTGCAGTTAAATGGCAAATAAAAAAGAAGTAGAGAGTCAGTTCAAATAATATTGTTTGGGGTAATCCATTTAGGTGTGCTTATATAATCTATTTATATGATAAGAATCTACATAAAAATCTCTGTACTCAGTCTTGGGTCTTTTTCATTTCTATGTTATTTTGGACTTATAACTAAGGTTCCTTCTGCATGTTTTACAGCAAAAAATTAATTTTGATAAAACTAATGAACTATCAAAATTCTGCTGGACTTAAACAGGCTACCTCAGATATGACTCAGTTATTAGATTTGTAAGCTGCATATGGGAGGATGTGGTTCAATGCTCAGTGTAAGCAGATACATATCTTGTACCACCTCTCAAAATAGTAATTTTAACTTCAGGATCTCAGCTTTCCCATCTGTCAATGTTATCAGGGATCAGATCTGGCTGAAGAGTAACCTTCATCTGGGAAAATTAAAAATAAAAAACAAACACAAAGTTTTCATCAAGGTCAATTTGCTTGGCTGAGCCAACACAATAGGATGGGAGCACAAGGTTAGAGGGCACAGACGGAGCAGAAATCAATCACCCTTCTGGCCCTCATGTGGTCTCAAGTCAGCTTGTGCTCCTTGTGTCATCACATTCGACATGAACATGCATATACAGAAAACATACAAGCAAGTCAGGACATCAGAAACAGCTGGCTACACACCACCTTATCATAATTCTTGGAGGTGTGTTTTTGAGGTTGTGGGTTTTCTTTAAGACTGCCAGCTCTATATTCTACATGGATTTTAGGCAAGATCAGAGAAATAATTAGCTATGTAAGTACGTGCAGCAATTTCTCTGCTAGTGAAACAGAAGGAAATCCTGGCAGACATAGATGAGATGGAAGGAAGGACAGCAGTTTTCCCAGAAATAAGACACTGCTTTCAGAATAAATTCTGTGTGTAAAGGATATAACAGTAGGCTCAGTAGGATGTCAAAAGATATGGGTATGATAATGTCTGCATTATTATTTGTTGCAAATTTCAAACACTGCAGACTGGCCTCAGGAACAGTTTATTAGCTGGGCTCAGCAAATCCCCTCTTCCCTTGTTTACTGGTGTAAGTGAGCAAAAAGGGAATAATATTGTAATTCAAGGAGTTGCAGGGAATTCACTGAAGAGTATTTGCACTGTGTAACCGGTTGTTAAATGATATAAACATTAAAAAGGCAAGACCCCACTTATACTTCTAGAAGAGTAGAACGTTTGTATTAAAGTAAAATAATGTAACCCAATTTCAGAGCAATAATCCAAGAGTGCATTGTTGATTCATGTATACTGTAAGAAAATCATTGTGAGCTACTGCAGGTTTCTACTTATTTTTCCATGTTTCCACCACCACCTCCCTCCCGAGACGGTAGCTGAACTGTGACTGAAATATTATTTTTCCATCCCCAGATGGCAGTGCTGCCTTCCAAGACAATAACACTCAGTAGTTCTGGGAGAGAAATGTGTGCTGGTCTCTGGCTGGCTTACGTGCCATGTTTCTTGTTTCAAGGGAAATATGCTACAAATTCTCACGTAATAAGACTGGTGTAATCAGGGTGGGTTTGCTCATCCAGGTCTGACACAGCAGCCATCTTCTGTTAGAGGCATCCACCGCCTCGCAACCTATTCATAAGAAATGACATCTGCAAATGTGAGTTGGAATTTCTGCTGAACTTTACTTAAACGTGCAGTTTCTAATATCTTCCAGGTGGACTGGAGAAGAGATAAACATGATGGCCATTTTGGCTTTTAAAGACCCTGCAGAAGACGACTGCGCATGCTAATCTTGGTCCACAAGCCTTTGGCATCTGGCCTAATCCTGCTTCTGCTTTCCTCACCAGCACAAACTTTGCCATCCTCAGCAGAGCAGACGCTGAGCAGCAATGTAGGTACTGCATTAGGCTGTTAAATCTCACACTGGCTTGCAGGGTGAGAAACTGACTTGATCCCTCTGTGCCTTCTCTACACAATTGCGTGGTCCCTTTAGTCACCAGGAGCAAGAACTGAGCTATTATCCCGCCCTGGGCTACCCTCACTGAGCTGTAACAACACACCTTTACTGAGCAATCTTAATGTTCATTAATTTATCAGAGACATAAAATAAAAGGTTTAATGGAATAAAAGAAACATGGTGCATGAGGAAGGCTGCCAGCTCCAGCAGTGCATTGAAGATGTGACAAGATGCTCTTAGCCCCTCTAGAGGATCCAGGAGAGTCAGTCCAGTTCTCAAAGAAAATGATGCTTTTTACCAATGGAAAATCCAACTGAATGCTCTAGCATGTTGTTCCCTTGTATTTTGAAATGGTGAGAAAGGTTCTTCCATGTTGGGAGGGTATGATCTGTTTCAAGGATCTTCACTCTCATTGCAGCTTTTTCATGGCTAGCAGGCAGGAAGCAGAAAAAGGACTTGTTCCTTTCCTTCACTGGAGATATTTGTGTGTGTCAAGCCCTCTCAAAAAAAATCTGCTACTTCCTGAAGATCCTAGATAACAGGGTGCAATAGAACACACTTAAAGATAATCCTCAGACCCTCTCCCCTGGCCTCCCATTTTGCAGTTTACAATTCAGAGAGGTGAGGCTTTTTTTCACCTTTCCTATCCACATGCTTACAGAGCCACTGAGGAAAGATTAAATACAAGCAGAGCTGGGATATGCATTACCCTTCCTTCTGACAAGCCCAGGGCAGAGGGGGACAAGAGGGCTCCCTGGGTCATACTTGGGCAGGGAGGAACAGGGGAGGACAGCAGTAACCACAGGGAGTCTGCCCCAAAGGCTTTATCCGCAGCCTCTTCTGGAGGTGGTGCTGCTCTGTGTGGCTCTTTAATTGGAGCAAGCAGTAAATATAACCTGGCCTTCCCAGTTAATAGGATAAGAGAAATGCAGATTTAGTTCAGAGCAGCTACTCTGTTGCTAATGATGCTTGGGTCACAGGTTCCATCCTCAAGCCCTCCTTTGTCCTCTTTTATTCCCTTTGATTTTCTACACGGAAAAAAAAATCCTGTTTTTCAGGAAGGAAATATTTATTGTCCCTTTCCAGGCTACTCTAATTCCCCCCCTCTCCACCCCAAATTCCTTTCATGTCCTGAGTCATGATTTCCAACCCCTGGCCCTTGTGCCCACCTTTTTCACTGAGCTAAGAAATTAATAACCCATTCTACCTAAAATGAGGAGATATCAAACACAAATTGCACATTCTCAGCTCTGCCACAGCTGGAATTTCTCTATTCTTCTCTGCTAGCTGTAGGGATCTTGGAGAAAAATCTGAAAAAATTAAAACTGAAAAAATTAAAAAATTTACATCAAACAAATAAGCAATATTTTTTTAATTTTTTTTTCCTAGTGAGAGCACTCAGCCCTCTAACCTACTGAGATGACCAGGACTCCTTTCTCACTACACCAAGTACATAAGCCAACAAATAAACATATCCGTAAATAAAATGCAACAGAGATGGTATTAGAAACCAAGGGGAAGAAGCCGTCCTTCAAAATGGGTTGTGGATTTTGCACTGTTTTCTCAGTCAAAAGTCCTCTTCTTCTCAAACACGCTAGTAAAGATGAAAAAGACAGTTTGTTTTAAAAGCTGTACTATCAAACCCCTAAAATATCATTTTTCCCCTTAAATCTGCATACACAGAGGAGAGGGAGGAGGAACTTAGTCATTCGATGACACATCTGCTCATCCCCAGAATTTGATTTCAGCTGTCACCAATTCACCTGAAATAATTATATGGGAAGAAGCCAAGCTTATGAACCCCAGTTTCTTATTTCCAGTGATTATAGCACTTTACAAGTCTGATGGGTTTTGCCTGCAAAATATGGCAGACAGAAATACAATATTATTTTTAAATAACCAGATTCCCCAGTTCAAAAAAAATCAACACAAAACAAAAACAGTATTACTGCTGCTTCAGAATAAAGATTCTTCCATTTTCTAGAACAAGTTTGCTGCCAAATTGATGATTTTTCCATGGCTAGAACATATTTTTTATTTAAAAGTTAAATATGTAAAGTCTACTAAAAACAAAGATATTTTATCTGAAATTAAAAAACCCATAACCATCCTTTTCCCTTTAAATAGAAAAGAAAGTTGGTAGCTGGTTTTTGTGATTTCCTTTATACGTGTATTGAAAAATTATGTTTGACGTAACTTGTAAATAGAATCTGCCTCTTATTTCTAATTGGAAGACAATAGCAAAACTTGTTACTAAGCTTGGATTAAATCACCCTGACATTAATATTATACATCCTTCACTACTAATAAAAAATGTAAAAAAAATAAGAACCTTTGCTATCTTTTACTCAAGACCAAAGTGCCAGGGATACAGCTTTCCCTGGCGTATTTGCAAGGCGCATACAGATAAAGGGGTATGGCTCAGGGTTTCTTCTTCTTTTGTAGGGAAATAGGCGTATTTCTCTATATTTGTGTGAAAAAATAAGGCAGGACTAACATAAAAGACTCTAAGAAAAAGAAGTAATTAGAAGAAAACTAAATAGTAAGTTTTTTAGGAGAAAGGGCTAAATAAAAGGGGGCTGTGAATTTCCTCATATCCAAGTTATTTTCTTGGTTTGCCCAGGGAACCTTAGTCAGAAATACACAGGTTGCATAGTAGAGATGTCAACCTAATCTTAGATTTTCCTTTGAACCAAAATCCTCTGTCTAACTGCGTGGGTCAAAAAGGGCAGCCATGTTATACAGCTTAGCCAGCAGAACTTGGTTAAATATCTGTCTCTTGACAAATCAGTTCTTTTGAAAACAGAAGTGACGTGGACATGTGGGACAGGAAGGCTGTGTACCTCAACTGGCAGACATTTAACTCTCCAAATCCTCCCAGGGAAGGTAAACTTATAAGGAACACTTATTTTGATTTCACGGCATATATTATAAATATGCATACTATTAAGACAAAGAGCGATAGAAGATGCCCCTTACCCAATTTTCCTCATTTGAGTAAGCAGGAATCTGTTTCAGGTCCTCTTTCATAGCTTGACACAACTGGAAGCCCTGCTGCTCCTAGTTTTGTCTTTCTGCCATCGCTACTATACAGCTGGAGTATGAGGTTCATTCCAGACATTTTAATTGCGGTATTAGTTAAGACCACTAATAAACATGAACCACTGCAGTGGCACATTGTGTTTCAGAGAGATCTTTCTCTGTCTTGCACACTGACAGATTTTGTTTTCTTTACTCATCTGAAAAGTACCCGATTCAGCTGGTGAGCAACAGCACAGATTTGGCCAAGTGAGCTGGAAGGGGCCATCCCCCAGAATTCATAAGAGTGAACCAGCCTGCCCCCCCTCCCCAACAGCGAGTAGGATGACACTGCAATCCAGATTGCATTTCAGTCAGATATTGTAAATTCACATTAACTTTTTTTTTTATTATTTATTTATTCACAACTAGTATCCAGAATATTCTGGATAATAATCTGGACCAGATTCTGACATTTTGAAGGCCTAATTACTAGTCTAACAGGGAAACCTACATTAATTGTCAGTAAGATACTGTGACTATTATTGAAGTAACTGTTGGCAGCTAACACAAATGCCTATTATCAGCAAGGGAGAAAGTCTGCCAACCTTATGCTAAAGAGAGTTTTTACTCAGAGAGGATTTTTGAATCTGGAAATTAAATCAAAATACTGAGAGTATTTCCAAAAAGAATTATTATGAAGGGGTATTGAAAAGGAGGGTGAAGTAAGGAAAATGAGAAAGAAAAGGCTGCATGGAAAATTTTTCTCAGGATGCATAATTTGGTTTGGGGGAAATAGAGGATGAGGAACCAAGGAGAAGCTGTCTTTTCTTTTTATGCACTGGGGGCTGCAGACAGGTTGTTGGGAGTATTACAGGAGTACTCCTACTGCTTCTAAAATTTCTCAGAGCCTTGATTAATGTAGCTTGCTCAGGTTTAAAGAGACTGACGCACTTGTGAGAACAAAAGAATATTTCCATAGGGTGGAATTTTAAAGCCTGTCTTATTTCCCTTTTTCTTGCTTAATTTCATGGGACATTACCACAGATGGTTCAGGAATTTAGCTTCACAAACTTCTTCCTGTTGCAGAGACCCTTGATCTCTTCTACTGTGTTCTTGTGACACATTTTAATAATGTTCTTTTAATGTTTAACAGTACACTGAGGGTACTCAGGGTTTATGTAAGTCCCATAGACCTTTCTGAAATAATTTTTCTTTGTGTTTACCTATGTCAGTGAGGGAGATAAATCTGTTGGAGGAAAGAACCACCTGAAACCATCAAACATACAAAAGTTTGCCATGAAATCACATACCAACTTGGATCCTGCTCCCTACAAAGCAGGGACTTGGGCAGAACTCCTATCCCCAGGTCTTCATATCATGTGATATTGGCAGGTACTTGTATCCACTTTTAAGTTTTACAAAAGTAAATAGGCTTAATCAGCTCCTATCCAATGTACTTCATTAAGAGTTAATCTTCAACCATCATTTCTCAGAATCTACAGGGGAAAAAAAATCGGATAAGTTGAAAGATGGTCACACTTTGATGCTGACTACCAAGTATTCTGTTGATTTATGAGCTCCATGGCAACTGTTCCTCAGAAATTGTCTAGTAAATCATCACTAAACAATATGGAAAAGTAAAATGTGTAGATTGCTCTGGAAAGCTAGCTGTCAGCTCATTTCTGTTATCGTATCTGATATCATAGGGATCTCTTTGTGGCAATGGATATTTCCACTCACAAAGGCCAACTCAGTTGGTTTAAGATGCTTATTCTATGGGGAAATTTATTTTGGTGTACACTCTGTGATGCTTTATCACATTCTGGTAAGAATATCTTAGGACAGAGTTGATAGGAGATAGTAAAAATACTTCCCAGAGAAAGTGGCAAATTTTTTTTTTAAAAACCCATCTTAGAAAAGTTTTAAAAATACCTAAAGTTTTAAAAAGACAGCATTTAGAAAATGCAATTGAAAAAAAATTATAGTTCAGATTTATGGGAGCAGCTGCAGTGGGATATAAGTGCTGAGTTTGGTGTACAGGTATTGACCATGCAAGATGACAGTATTGACGTTCAACTGAAGTGCTTTTTGGAATATTCTATGTGAGAATCTATAGGAGCTTTGAAGCTCTCGTTGTACCACCAGGAACTTCTCAGCAAACCACACTGTTTTTTCTTATGGAAACAGAATCATCTGATCCCCTTAGTATTTTGCCTGTAGTTAAGGATCTAATTGTCTTTTTCCTCACTATTCAGGATCTCGCCAGTTAAAAAATCCAAAGGTAGTACAATTCGGTTCTGTTTCCTTGTTACTTTTTGAGTTTCCTGAAGGCAGCTTTACCTCTCTTGATTGCCTTCCTTGCTGTACTACCTAACACTGAAATATGATTGCAACTATTTCTGTGTTCCTAATCTGAAAAATAATCTTAATTTAACTTATGAAAGAATGTTTACTAATTTTTCTTGACATGGGAGATTTGGACCGAGAATTCAGGTTTTCCTGGTGTTGAAATTCGCTGTATGTTTTCTGTCATGTTTTGTAACATGTTTCTTCCTTTTACCATAATGACTCCATTAAATACAGCTTATTGTGGCAAAGTAAAAGCATGATTTCCAGAACATTTTCTGTGTCTGCTGGGGTATCTTTGTTAATGGTCATTATGGGCCTATACCAAATCCTAGCAAAGTGAAAGGAAACATTCCCCTTGGAGAAATCTAACTCTCAGGCTTTCAAATAATGTCAAACTCCATTTTGGTTTTAAATGGCTTCTCCTTCCCCAATGCTCCCACATCTCTGAGATGCATTGAGGGAAGGATGAAAGCTAACGCTCTTCTAATATCCTTTGCTCATTTAAAAGCAACGCTTTTAAGAAGGAAATAAATGTGATATTGTGTACCCGCTTATAATAGCCGTGGGTAAAATTATGCCGCATTGGTTATTGTTCTTTACATATATTACCAATTGAAAAGAAAATGAAGTTAGAATTAATGGACCCATTTGTACAAACATGATTGTTAATATTAATATGCAGGGTAGATCAGTTGGCAAGAGCAGAAATAAATTAGTGAGTGTCTCAAACACAATATTTCACTGGAGACTAACTGCACAGATGCTGAAAATACAATCCTGTAGTTAAACCAGTGTGCGGAGAGACTTCTCTTAGAGTTAAGGAGAAATATCATAGTGCAGATTCCCCGTAGTACACTCTTATTGTCCAAAAGTCTACATGTGCTGCTAGGAGATTATTAGTGTTTACTGAGAAAAAGCACTCTGCAAACGAAGGAGCTGGTGGAAGTAATAACCTTCCCCATTTTCGTTCTGTGTCTGCTGGGCTCACACTGTAGCTGCAGAACATTCTAGATTGATTTTTCAGTTGAAAATGTAGCCATGGGGAGTGGAGGGTTTTTGTAGGCTCAGGTGGAACTGTTAAAACCAGATTTTGAAACCTGCCTGCCTGGGGAGTGCATAGGTTGACACTGTACTCATGTCTCCACTGTAAGGGAAGACAACACAAGCAGAAAGACTGCAGATACAGTTATTATTCTCAGACATGCAATTTCTTAGGACAAAACCCTGTTCCTAGTTAAGAGATAAACTTTTGGAGAGCACAGTGGGAATCTTATTAATAGACTAGAAATTTTGGTAGTTGATTACTCTTGTTTCTCAGTTATTCCTCTAAAGAATTTGTGGTCTTCCATTATAATGCTGAAAGAAGAATTTTTGTTTATCAAGCCCAAATTTCTCTTTATTATTAATTTTCTTCCAGGCTATTAGCTTTTTGGGAAAAGGAAAGCCACCCTTCATAACCATGTGTCCTTGTTTTGTAATCTCCACCATTATATCTGATTCTTTCAAACAAAGGTGTGGTAGTTTTGCTGGCTCATTTCAGAGTTGATTTTAAATTACTTTACTGAGACAAAGCTGTCAATCTCTTAATCTGAAGAAACTTTGCAGATCAATCCAAAGTTGTCTTTTTTATCACAAGGAAGGGCAACTTTTCCCAAAATCAAAGAATCTTCTGGCAAGTGAGCTTTCTTTGTTTCTGTGAAATACTTTTTTTTTCTTTTTTCCATTCATCAAGCTTTTCAAGTGTAACAATGGAATAACAATGTTAGAAAAAAAACCAAGACAATCACTAAAATGCTATATTCTGCATCTGAGTTATAAGAATCCCATTAAAACCCAACATTAAAGCATTGTTTGCTGGAAGAAAAATTGTCATGACTTTGATAAAGAAAAAAAACAACCTTGGCTTTTCCAGCTTTAATCAAGTAATTTGTGACACAGTAAGAGTTCTGTACTGCCGAGTTATTTTCAGAGCATTTGTCACAGGTGTTTCACTTGTGTTCAGCACATCCTGATTCTAATCTTAATACGATTAACAATAGTAGGGCAGCTTTTGAGAACAAGCTGACTGGTTATTTTGTGCTGTATTCTTACACAAGCACTATTTATTTGGGATTTGAGTACCTTTTCCAATACTCATTTCACCTGAAAAATAACTCCATCCATGTAGAGGGGCTTCTTACATTGCATCACTAAGTTGTATGCAGAGAGAGGGATATTTATGGACAAATTTAAAACCTGGGGCAGTTCCTTCCACATTTGTACAGTGGTCAGTGTGCAGGACAACAACCATTTGAAGGAAGTTTCCTCTTCTGGGTGCTCACCATTTGGGGTCTTCTCATCCAGTTGACTGGCAACTGGGCCATATTATCAGCTTAAACCATGATGCCATATAAACAGAAGCAGAAATAACCCACAGTTTTCTAATTAGGCTCATTAATTCATTATTTGTGAGAGCTTCTAGCTTCACTGGTCCTATGATGGATTACTGCAAATGCAGTGTGCATCCCAAGCCAAAGGCGAGGGCATGTAAAAGCAATGTCCATGAGATGATCTTCGGATCCAGCAGTGAATTTTCCTGTTTAAGTACTTAATATTTTTTTAAGTTCTCTAGATCATTTTTCTTCAAATGATTATGTTTTTACTGTGTGATAAATAAGACTCTGCCTGAAGATACCAGAGGGCATGTGGCACCAGGATAATATCTCTGCAACACATTTTGAGTGGTGATCACACCATTTCTACCTCACCATATGGCTTAGTGCAGATGTCCTAGCATTAAAATGACCTTCTTCATTATATAAAGGTCATAGATGCAGAATTCAACATTTTGTAACCTTTGGCAGGGATACAGGCTGTGCAGGGAGTGCACCTGTTGTCTTGCCTGCAGTTCAGAACAGTGTCGCCCACTAATTGATTGAAATACAGGGACTGAAATTTAGCTTGTATTGCTGTTGGTAACATCAGTTAATACACTTAGATGTTACTAAACAGTTCAGTGTGCTGAGTTTAATAAATAAAAATGCTAAGAAGCTAGAATCAACTTCTATATAGGTTTTCTTTGTTAGCTCTAGTAATTAGAAGTGCTACATCCTTCTTTACTGAATCTGGTCATATTCTCATCTTTAAGAAAGAGAAAACAGAAAGAAAGTTAGGGCAATGATCAGGTGTTTCTGTACATAAAAGAGTTAATTTTTTCTTCATTCAGAAAAGACTTTTTCTGCATATTAATAATGGAGTGGAGAGACTGCCCGGTTTTAACCACTTCCCCTGCCTTGTCCAGCAGAAGCTGCCCTGCTACTGATTTAGTTTGTTTAAGATATAACCAAAACATATTCCCTGGCAACTTAATTGAACTTGGAACACCTGGCATGGGAGCATTTCATTAATAAGGGACATCAACCCCTGATCTGGGATGTGAACTTTTTTTGATAATTAGTAAAAAATCCTAAAACATATGAAGAGTTGACAACAAAAAAAAAACCAAAACAAAACAAACCAACCCAACCAAACAAACAAAAAACCAACAAAAACCCCCACCCTGAGACTGTATTTTATTCCCCCAGGTAGAGGGACAAAAAGAAGTGAAAAGGCACTGAAGGAAAGGTACATGATGCTCGGTGAGATTGGCACAGCATTATGAAACACCTAATTTCAGCTACCAAGGGGCTCATATTGATTTTTTTTTTCATTCTCTGTGTGTGCTTTTATAGAGACTTGAAATAGAGTCTCCATTTTACTTGTATGAAAACCACATTTCTAGGAGGGCAATGTGGGGGAGGGAAAAGAATAGCCCTTTCTACTTGGAAAAATAGCAGCCTACTTAGCACTTGCCAGAGGATTATACACCCTAATGTTCTGAGAGATACCTGTTCAGGTACGTAGAGGGAAGGTGGATGCCTTAAGAGTACTTAGAAATTATTTAAATCCGTAAGGGTTGCTGAGTGTTTCTTCATTTGTGCATTGTGAGAGAGAGATCCAGATTCCAGCCATCACTTCTGCAGCTATAAAACTTACATTAAGGGCAAAGAATATGGAGCTTTTTGCAGATCAAAATTGAAGTTACTGAAAAGGTTGTTACACGGAAAATATTCATTCTTCAGGGCTGTCCCAGCAGATACAGTCTGACCCCTTGATGTTCAGACAGGGGATATGGAAAACTCCAGTCATGATCAAGGTCTGAGTGGTGGAAAGACCAACTCTTCAGTCAATCATTTCTGACAATTGAGAAAATTCTAAATCTTTTCAGGATCAAAGGAAGCTTTATTAGTAGCACAAATGCCTGATTTTATTCATTTTTTTTAAGAGAGGTTATTGTTCTTCAGTAAAAGATGCAAAACTTCTAAGAGGTACGTAACACTTATTAACAAATGCATTTTACTTCAGTATGAGGAAGGAAGAGAACTCACCTTTCCTTCCTTTTCCGAAGTTGGTTGTTGTGGTAAGGTTTAACCAGAGTCCCTCCAAACTTACGTTTCCACTATGCCTTTCTAACAGCTGAGGAAGTGTCCCATTTCCGCAGTCACCCACTTGTTTGCAGTTGTTCCCTGCGCTCTGTTTCAGAGATTTAAAATGGCCAGAAGCCCTAGCAGGCATATGGCTTACACTGGATCCCTGACAGATGACTTGTTCCATTGCTTTTTAGGGTAACGGAAAAAAAAAAACAAATTCTGTTAGAATTTCAGTGGAGGAAAAGTAAAAATACTGTAAAAATGCGATTGCTGGAAATGTTAGTTGCTTCTCATTGTTTGACACTGTAACAGATCAAAATTTGAGGCCCGCGAATGACAGTTTTAGAGAAGGGAAAGGGAAGGGAGGATGGAAAAAAAATTCTTATGGCTCAAAACAACTTTCCTTTTCCCCCCACATTATCTGGCAGAATTAAAAATTCTGCAGGAAATTAAACTTTTACACCTGACAGAGAACTGCTTAGATGCGATGTGTGATTATAGATGGCTCATTCTCAGTCTGGAAGATTGGTGTCCTTTAAAGATTCTAGAAAACTCTGGGGTTTGTGGTTTTTTTTTTTCCCCAGAAGATGTTTCACAACTCCATTTTCTAAGTATGATTTATAGTTAGTGTATATTTCATACAAAATTGGGAATGTAACAACCTTCTTTCAGTTCTGCTTTCTAGCTAGTCAAGTGTTTATGAATTTATATGCCAGGTTTTTAAATTAAAATATTTTAACACCCTGTTTTTCAAGCCTGTGGAAAGAATTGCTTTCTAGGTGCCTCTGAACTGCATTTTTAAACTTTTGTAAGCTAGATGAAGACTATTTAAAAAAAAAAGTAATAATAACATGAAAAGCAACACTTACATGGCAGCTCTTGCATAAAAGTCTGCACAATGACTGAAATAATCATTTTTCATAGCACTCCTGATGCAGAGAACAGCTGTGTAGTTAGTACTCAGCAAAGGATGGAATCACCAGAGGTGATTACCTCTGGTGTAGAGGACCACCACTGCTTAAAGTCTTTGTCAATAATAAATAGTTTAAGCAGTAACTTGGTTTCTATCACTGAAACTATCCAGGGATTTGAGTTTTCAGCATTTCGTTCCTGAGCTGGAATTTATCCAAGATATCCAGGTTAAGAGGCAAACTGCGGCTTTCAGAAAAATTGCTATGGAGTGTTATATGATCGAAAAGGGGTCACGTCCCAACAGTAGGTCCCATCAAAGGATTAGACCTGCATCATCAGGGTGCTCTTTAATAAACCCCTGTCAGACTGTTGGCTCGTACAGACTTAAAAGGAGGACTGCAGTCTAGTGAATCACCAGCACTGTTTAGTGCAGTGTAATGTCACTTCACTTGAAGGATTTGACATGATGAGAACACAAAGTGGTGAGATGTACAGCCTACAACCACCTAGAGCTTGTGCTTTGAGGAAACACATATGAAATATTGTACTAAATTTACAAGGATTATATTCAACTCCCTACTATACTGGCCAATCATTGCTATGGCAAGAGATGCACCTATAGGACTAAGAAGACCTGGTACACACTGTTGTGAGATCCTTCCTTTAACATTTAACAACTTGAGTGGTTCAGAACAGTGATTTCTTCTGCTCAGGTGCATCATCTATTTGTTTTTGAAAGTTTAAGGTGTTTCCAGAATTGAGATTGTTAATAAAAGAATATTTTCCCATATGAAAAGATAAGCTGTTTGACTGAAAAACTCTGTGTTGCTTCTGAGCATTAGAAGCAAAAATTGTAGCTTAAGAGGGTATTACATTACAGGTTCACAGAATATGCTGAGTTGGAAGGGACCCACAAGGATCATCAAGTCCAACTCCTGGCCCTGCACAGGACCATCCCAGACTCACGCCATGTGACTGAGAGCTCTGTCCAAACACTCTTTGAACTCTGTCAGGCTGAAAGGATCACTTCATGCTCTTTCTTACCAGCTACTGAGTCTGTTTGCTGCCTCTTTTGGCTGCTCTCAGATGGTCAGAGAGGACCCCTTTCTGCTCACCCAGCTTGTGTGAACTGCTGTGTGAACTGCTGTACCACAACCTTACTGTTGTGCCACGTCCCTATTTGCCCACTCCTGTTCACCATGCTCTGGGTCGTTCACACTCTCTAGAGCTGTTTAAATCTCCCTTGGATGCTCCCAGCACCACTTCCTCATCACCCTGTTGACTGCTGAGGGCTTCCAGGTCCTAACAAAGCTCAGGAGCTGCTGTTTGGGTATTCCTGAGCTCAGGAACTCCCCTGTACAGACTCATTTAATCCTCACCCCTGGACTTACCTCTGTCACCACTGCTGCTCCCTCACCAACTGTTGTTTTGGATGGTAGAGTATCTTGCTATTTTTTGTAAAAATCAACTACTGCTGGCCCAAACTCCACATGTATATGTCCTATAAGTAATAACTTATACATTTGGTAACAAAATTCTCACATGCTCCTGAACTGTTCCACCAATGGCCTGGGCTTGACAATCTATCTCCTTGTCCAAGGAACACCTTTCATCTGTTGTCCCCTGGAAAGCTCTAAACTATTCTAGAAAACATCTTTTTTCTCATCAACGGGAAGAAGTTGGACCAAAACTTAGAGGGGTAAGGAACTGGAGGTAGGAGATGTACAGAGAAGAAGACAGAGCTGAGGAAAATGGTGAGAGCCAGAATTGGGAACATTTAATTTGAGACAGATCTAAAGGAAAGAAAATGAGAGCAGGGAGTTACTTGAAAGGAGGAGGAACTAAGGAATGAAAAATAAGCAAGCTTCTGTTCAGTGGCAATAGAGGCATCTTTAGGCACAATGACAGAGGTAGGCAGTGGAGAGAAAGGAAGCAAAGAGGTAGGCAAGATTCAAGAACTAGGGAGATAAACATCTGTATAACTAAACTTCCTGAAATGGTAAATCTTAATACAGCTCAGTAGAAATTTATCCGTTTAAGTTTTTTTTCTCCCTCTCAAACTTTCATAAGTAAAGCTTTGCTAAAAACTTGGCAAGACAGCTAAGATATGAACTCAGATTTTAGGAAATGACAGAATCAAGAGTGACTGTTTCTGTCAGATTTTATCAGATTTGGGCATTTTTTTTATACTGCAATGAATGGCTTATATTAAATCTGGGCAGCTATCCAGGGGGAGAGAAGTAAATCTATAGATATTAGAAAAAATTTTAAAAATATAGATCAAAGGAGGGGGAGATCAGTTGGAATGGGTTCAAGATTTTGGAGCCTTTCTGAACTGTATTGTTGGTCATAACTGAGCCCAGTCCAGTAAAGACTGAAAGTGATAGTCATCTGCTGGCATATGAAATGCTTTAAGTTTTGCTAGAAAGCAAAGCATAGTTTTCTTGTTTTCTTGTTTTGACAGGAAACAGAACTCTGAAATCAGAATGTCTGGATATGGAATATGATTTTGTTTTGCCAAGGGACAACTGGGACATTGTGAATGCCATATGATAAGAGCATTGGCATAGATAACACACCCAGTTTTGGCACACAAGGCACAACTTCAATGGGAAAAATGATGTTGCTTTCCAGTGAACCCTTTCTGGAAGGCTACAGACCACTTCTCAGATTCTCAATATGAGTGCTGGACCTGACACTACTGCAGGATGATTTCAAATCCCTTGCATGCACTACTGAAGTTACGGAAGTTATTGAAGTGGGGTCCTTATTTAATTCTTTGACTGAATAAAAGGTGTAAACTAGTCTGCTTTGCTAACACCCTTCTTAAATTTGCAGTAGTTTTACTTGCAGACAACTGAGGAAATTTACAGATGTGTACAGAAAACAATATCTGACAGCAAATTCCTCCCTCTTGTATCATCATCATTGCTGAGATACCTTTCAGCATCGTTAGAGAGAACATGCCTTTCCAGTCTTTCACTTGTTCAGCTCAGCCATCTGATGATTCGTCTCTTTTTGTTCTTCTTGAAGAGCATGTCTCTTTGATGACAGCCTTTGAGGTTCCTGTTTCAGATTCAAAGATACTGCCTTTTTCTATCATAAAAAGAAAGTTTTAAAGCAAACCAGAGGTCATAGTAATAAATAGGGTTCATAAAATCAAAAAAAAAATTAATTAAGATTGCATAGACAGATTCCTCACAGTTTCTAGTGCAGTGGAAAATCACTGATACTTTAGGGACTTTTCTGTATATATTTTCAAATTTAAGTTTGAGATTTTTTTGCTACTACTAAATGTTTACACAATTTAGATAAAATTTAAATTATTACAGTTTCTATGAATCATTTCAGATGGTATTCACTGATTTATTACAGCCATTAAGAGCGCAGTTTGGTCTCTGACAGATGTATCTTACCTTACTGAAAGACATAATCACTGCTGTCAAGTGCATTTGTTTAGAGAGAGCAGAGGTCTCCTAATAATGTCCCCTGACATTTTTCTCCTTAGGAATTCCTCCAAATCATTTCTTTCTGGTGCCTGGAGAATTTAAGCAAAACTCTGCAGAGGCACAACTGTGACAAAATAATCATAAGTAGATACCCCCAGATTCTGTAATTTCTTTTGTTGGGCAGACACTGTCAGTTATGGACAAGAAAAAGTCTTCACTTCTAAGACAATGAATTTGCCATTGTGGCAGTACTTCCAGACATAGGAAGTTACATCGCTCAAGGATTGAAATTGGGCTCTGGACATCATGTATGTCATTCACTGCCTTGGCTATTAGGCTTATTCTTGCTCCGTTATTCTTAACCGGTGTCATATATTGTCCCTTTGGAATTTTAAAGCAGTGAAAGATGCCATTAATATAATGGACTCCTTGACTTGCTTGAGTTTAAATGATCAGAAAATTCATTCCTCAGTAGAGACTTTTAAACTGTGATGAAGAATTAAAAAATCCTAGCTGCATGTCAAAGAACCTGACAGATTTTCCTAAGCTTTTGCATTTGCAAGGTAGGAAAGGGCAGAGCATCCAGCTGTTAATGGAAATTGTAGAGGAGAGCTAGAACATTGCCCAGCAGAACGGTTTGAGCTCTACACAGGCCAGCTGTAAACAAGTTTAAAAAATACAGGCTTGGAAAGGACTATACGTTCATTACGTCCCTGTATATGTTTTCCTTAGAAAGCACCAAATTAAGATTTCAACCATTCTGACTGGTACAATGACAATTTGGAAAATGAGTTAGAGGAGGATGCTGGTGCAGGACAATATGGTTGTATATAGAAAGTTCATGGTTATAGTGACTAACAGTGAAATTAGGCTTGTAATTTTTGCAGCAAAAGAAAACCCAGTTCTTCTGAAAGGCATCAAAAAGTGGAAATTTCATCCCTGAGGAGTATGACAAAATTGTGTGGGGAGCTGAGAACATATAATCTATTAGCCATAGTTCTATTCAGATCCCCTCTCTATAAATGACATTGCAACAGCTTTGTTCAGAAGAAAAGAGAGTGACGATTCATAATTCATGCTGCAGGATTTACTGAAGAGAGCAGGACATAACAATCAAGCCTCAGCTTGCCTATTACTTGGGGAAATGAAATATCTATTTAAGCCAAATGTTTTGAAGGATGTGAATTTTAAAGTTCAAACTAGTTCTCAAACAGTATGGATTGAACATGTATAAATAACTGGCAGCAGTTACACTGTGATATCAGCCCTCATGAAGCTGTTATCCCAGCCATGCTTCTGCTTGTCATCTTCCAGTATCTTTGAGGATTTGGGTTAGGACTTAAAACCATGGAGGATATGAGACAAGTCCTGTACCTTCCCCAGCCAAAAAATATTTTAAGGGTGGTCTGGGGCCTTCAAGGTCCTTAGGGTAGATAAAGGGAACCACAGTGTACAGGGAATAAACCTCTTTACCTGTTCATCAGATAAAGCATGACATTGGGGAAGCAGGAAGTGGGGTAAACTGAGATCTGAGGAAGTGTCAAGGGCATATGGAAGAACAGACAGAGCAAGAGATGGACAGGTGTCTGTTCCTCTGCCCATGTCTCAGCTGATGATGAGGAGTGCAGCTACCATCCTGCACAGCTCTGCACCCATAGCCCACAGGGTGAGCCCAAACCAGGGAAACTAGAAAAGTGGCTTTAGATGAGCCATAATCCAAAACTCCAAGCTGGTAACAGCCAGTTGCAGGTGACTTCATCTACAGATATCAATACTTTAGACAGATGTTCTCTGCTACATGACACAGGCAAAGAGACTAACAAAGAAGGTGGGCTGGGGGAGAGAACAGATGTGATCAGCAGTGTAGAGGCAGACATGGAGACATGAGGCCTTGTTAGGATCCACTTATTAAAATTATTAGAAATGCCTCTGCCTGAATAAAAGTGCAAATAAAACTAGACACCAAAGTCAATAGTATGGGGTTTATTTATTGGTAAATGTGAGATGGAGAAAGAGATAGAAAGAAATAGGAAAAGGAACAGGAGGAAGAAGAAAGTGACAGACAGAGATATTAAAATAGAAAATGTATCACCGTTGTGGAACCCAATGGCATCCCGTCAGTCCAGTTCTTCTGGTCTTCTTGGTGGTGAGGGTCCTGCAAAACATAGAGTCCAACGGATTAATATACATTCAGGAGATGCCAGGCACCTACCCTGGGGGTGGGTGAAGCTTTTCAGTCTCTTTCGACAGCTCTGGATTTGTTGCCTCACTTGGATCACGTGCAGTCCTTTAGCAGTAAAAGGCCTCAGGAATGAGTTGGGGGGAGTGGTTTGGGGGTCTTTGATGGTTTATGACCCTTTCTTAGCTGCCTCTCGCATGAATGTCCCGTGCATGCGTCACTTCCCAGAGCAGGGGGTAGGGGTTTACTCCTTCAGTTTGGTGTGGAGAGATTTCACCATCGCACACCCAAACCCCTTCTCCTCCACCACTCCCTGAGCCCAGCTAGGGTTGATTCTTAATATAGATATATTCTTCTTTCCTGAGCTTTGTTTACTTCTCCTCAGATTTGAGATGATTAGACAATAGTCTCATCTCAAGTTCTCACTCACAGTCCAAATTCCAGTCAGGTTTTAGTTGTCAAAGACAGGCAGTCGCTTCCTTGTAGTTTGACAAAAAGTCTTTCTATGACTTTGACAATATTTAAGACATAACAAACATTTCAGTCCATCACAGGCCTGGGAGAAGAAAGAGTGTAAGAGACAGGGACACTGGGCTAATACCTGTGGCCTTTCAAACCCCTCACCTTTCCCTGTTGCCTTTACTGCTTGCACACGTAGCCTGACAGAATCTCTAGTTAAATTATAGGTGCTATTTTTCCTCTAACTGTTTTTGTGCTTTCGCTTGCAGCCTGAATAGGTACTTCAAGATGGTCTCTGCAACACTAAGAGACATTGTATGAAATGAGTTGCATAGGCCTTGGGTGAACACCCACCAACACGAGGTAGGTAATTTCCTACTTCTTTGGTGTGCATCCAAAGAGCAGGAATAATCAAGCAGAATGGGTGAAGGCAAGTGAAAGAAAAGCAAAAATATCTGTAAATAGATCTTCTTGAGGTAGCTTAGAAATACAGCTTTCAAGGTGGCACAATGATTAAAACATATTTTCTCTTTGACTATATTTATGTTAGTTTTGTGCCAAATTCTGTGATTTTTCTGGCATTAACACAAAAAGGGAATACTGCATCTAATAAAAAATCTGCAAATTCTTGTCTTAAAAATAAAACTGTGTAAGAGTAATGCATTTTTCTCTCACATATGTTGTTTTCATTTATCAGTTTACAACATGAATCAGGAAAGGAATTTTTGGGCTTGTTTATTTGAGGATTTTTTCCTTCCCTGGGGCTTTTAGAACTTTAAAGGAAGAAATCCTTAGGTAGGGATATATTTTATTCTTTAACAGTAAAATTGCATTCAGTTTTGACTGATGTGAGAATTATTTATAATAACTAATTGCCTTCAGTAATCTGTGTTGACTGGGAAGATTCTGCAGTGTGTTAAAATTAATGACTGTCTAGAAATGTTCTACAGAGGTTTGCTCACTAACTTGATTAGCATCTCTAGCACCAGTTGCATGACCTACTGTGTCCCACTATCTCTCTGGATTCAAAATAAATCAGTAGTGCCACTGCCTCATTTCCTCTGGGTTACCCCTCAGATTCCCTCATATCTGCTAGGTGGAGAAAAATATACAAAGCTCTCTGGAATTTCAGTTGGGACCAGCCTCCCTGCTGCGGTGAGATGATGATGAAAGTCATCATGAGGAGTTTCCACATGCCTTGCTTCTTCTCTGTATATGGCTGTTAAGTGAGGGAAAAGCCCAAAATGACTGTTTATTGGACTTGATTCTTCTGCACCGTCCCTTGAAGCAACAGACTTCTACTTTATCAGACGCTTATGAACAAGTATGCTGAAAGATGTCTGTTCTGGATGTCTGCAGTCCAAACACTCCTGATAGTATGCTGAGTTTACTATGAAAAGGTACACCACACTTCAATTGAAAGGCCAAACTTCCGAAATATAGGATGTTCCAGTTGTTAGGTTGTCTGTGTAATCTTAATTTGCATACAAATTTGTATGGACAGCTACAGTTTATAAAGCTTTCACCCCAGGAATCAGGTCTTGGTATCAGGTCGTTCTGCATGCAAAGGAGACAGAGCTAAGGATTTCTAGATAACCATGAAAAAGGTATTTTCCAAGCTATTGCTCTTCAAATCCTGTGGAGCAGCCAGGATTTCTGGTGTAGATGCAGAAATCCCTAAGCAGTGTAGAATAATTGAGGGTAGACATAAAACTGTTTATCATGGAAGAATTTCACAAAGGCCTTTGGAGGTCATTTAGTTCAACTTCTCCCCCAAAAAGGCAGGACTGTTGCCAACACCAGGTCAGGTCAGCTGTGACTGTGTGTAACTGCATCTTGAAAACCTCCAGAGATGGAGATTTCAGAGTTTACCTGCACAACTTGACACAGGGCTGCACTGCAAAGGTTTTCCCCTTAGTTAAAAGTTTTCCCTCAGGTTCTTTTTTTTTACTGCCCTTGAAGTAATTATTACCTCTACTAGACCAAGCCTAAGACTCTTCAGCAGTCTAAGGATCTCTCAATGTTTCCTTGTGGCCCAGTAGGTGATCCAAAACTTGATTCACTTTTTCATATGCAGCTTCCTGAGTTCCAGGCAGATGGGAAAACCAAGTTCTCCATATCTTTGGGGCACCTCCTCTCAACACAGCCTGATCTTCAGTTTACCTTAGTCACAGTGAGAGAATATTTCAGCTAGAGTCCACCATTACTCTTCAGCAGGACTACTACTAATTCTTTAGTCACATATGAGCTTACACTGTCCCAAGAGCAGAAGTTTGCTTTTCTCCTTGTTGGACATCACAAAGTTTCTGTTGTGCCAGTTATCAAGTTTATCAAAGTCCCTGTGAATTCAAGTTATGACATCATTGTGCAATTCACTCCCTCTAATTTAGCATCAATAAAAATTTTGCATGTGGTACATCCTAGGTCATCACCTAAGTCATTGATGAAGTCATCAAACAGTGAGAAAGAGTTCAGTTCTTAGAGTACTCTGCTCGCTACTGGCCACCAAGCAGATGCTGAGCTATTCATTGCCACATTGTAAGCCCTGAGGTACAGCCAATGTTTAGTCCATCTAAGCATCATTTCTTCCCGTCTGCATTTCCTCAACTGCCGGATGAAAATGTGGTGAGGTATAGAGTCAAAAGCTTTCCTAAAGCTGAGGTATATGACATCCACAGTCCTCACCTTGTCAATTTTGTTGTAGGAGGCACTTGGGTTTGTTGAGCATCATTTGTCCCTGGTAAATCCATGCTGATTACAATTGTAAAGATTTTGGTCTTCACATGTTTGGCAATGCATCCCTAATAGACAGGCTGCAGGATTTTTGCAAGGTCTGAGATGAGCCTGGCTGATATGTAAGTCTCTGAACCCTTCCTCTTGCCTTTTTTAGAAATGGCACCCAGCGCCACTGTGCAAACCATCCAGGGAAATGTGTTTTCTCTGTGAAGGGCGGGGTATCCTGAAACTGGTTTGACCTAACAGAAGGTCTGAACCTGGGAAAGCCATGATCACGGCAGCATACATTGAACTCTTGCTGCTTCTTGAAGATTTGGAGGAGATAGTGTAAATCTCATTCCAGGCCATGCCTATATGTGCACAGGTATTTATCCCAGCTGACTGCATAATTTGTGTGCAGTCATACCAGCTTTTGGCTTCTCACTTAGACACCTGAATTAGGAGGACAGTGCATCACATATATAATAATTCCTCCAGTAAATAATCCAGAACTCTCAGTTTAATCAACATTTTAGCTCAACTTCATTCTGTGTTTTGCCCTCTTGGGGGTATATTGGTTGTAAAGGAATCTGACTCAGTCCCCTGAGTTAAGAAATTGCTCCCTTAGGCAGTGTGACTCGTCCTACTGAGTTCAACTAGAAATTTAGTTCGTTGCATAAAACATAAAAATATGATTCATGTACTGTTAATACTCAGCTGCATGTTTGCAATTTGAGCACTTAATGAATTTCAGTTCAACAAATTAATTGCTAGTTTAGTCTGAAAATGTTTCAGAGGTCCTTGGGAATAAGAAAGAACATAATTCTGTTCCCTCATCTGTGTGGATCAGCACATGACCTCTGCAGCTAAGGCTCTCTTAAGAAAAAATGTTTTGTCTATTGAGAACAGCAATCACCAGGCCAGCAAAACTGTTCCACAGGTGAGGTCACATGCTAAGGATGCTTTTGCTAATTATTTCTGGACATTAATGCAAAGAAGATCATTCAAATTTTATCCAAAATAATCAACTTTCTACTTGAAAACAGTCACAGAACCATAAAGTTTTGAAACCGAATGAGCCTTTTAAAAGATTTTTTTAGGAAAGTATTTGAAGATTGTTGTTTTAGAGGTAGTTGCACTTGGAAGTGCCTCAGTGGTCTTTAGTTTTGCATCCAGTGCTTTGGCCCACAAGAGGCTCCCTGCACTGCAGGCACTGAACTGCTCATCCTTGATCCTTTGACTTCAGTGTCAGGATGGGGAATATCTACACAGAGAGCACAAGCAGCAGCAGCAGCAGCAGGCTGGGTTGTGGAAAAGCTACATTTCAAGACTGTGAACGCTGACAGAACAAATTCAGGAATCTTCTCCCCATGGATTTAGTTGTTTCTAAACTGCAACTTTAAGAGCTTCCTTCTATCTCTTGGATGATACTGCTACAAGCAATAACAAACACAAAATGCTAATAAGAGATTTTTGGAGAGTGTCACAGAAAGACCAAATGAAAGCTGTGGGGAAGCATTGCAACACTTTGTACATCCTAGGTTTGTGACTGGATGCAATGAAGAGAAACACAAGAATAAATCCATTCTAGCATGGATGCCACTGGAATGGTGTTAATTAAGGGCATGGATCATGAAAATATTGCTGGCTCTTGTCACTTGTTATAAGTTGTTGATTTATATGGGAAATGAGAGCTACAAAGGTGTGTTTGTAGATAAGTTTTTATGTTTCTCTCTTGGTAAAAAGGGCTGAGAATAAAGGTCAAAAAGCCAAGAAATGGGAAGAATACAAAAGATACATATCTAATGAATATTATCTTGTTCAGTAAGTGACATGTTAATTTCCTTTTTGAGCATACATACTGTGGCCCTGGTAAAATTTATTATCAAGTAAATTAAGCTGGAACCTTTGGTATCTCAGTCAGTGCAGGGAATAAATGTATCTCATTATTATCTTTTTTTAATGGAAAAGAAAATTGATTTTATTTTCAAAGAAATAGTCAAGTGGAGCAATGCATGCTGTCTATGCTATATTTTAGGTGCTTTATCATGCAATTTTGCTTCTCTACAAGAGGTTGCTTAGAAGTTAAAGGAAAATAGCAAAAAAATAATTCAAAATCTGATTTCTTAAAAATTGTCAATTTTGTTGTACTTTAACTGGCTCTTTAAACAAAGTGAAGTGATGGGTGCAGCAGGAAATACGTTAACTTTGCCCCATGTATCTGAGCTACTCCTGAAGATAAAGTTCTTCTTTACTTACTGTGCTGATTTCAAGGGCATACAGCAATGTGTTCACAAAACTGTGACCTAGACCTTTAGCTTTCACATATGAAATTTCAATAGAGAGTAAGAAAATATCTTCCTCCAGTTCTAAAAGACAATAGTTTGGTCAGTGAGAGTTCATGGTCTTTATGCAATACAGTTTCATATATGTCCTATAGCTAGAAAACCAAAAGACCTAGACAAGTTTTCAAACCGGTAATCATAGTTGTTTAATGTATGCTAGAGAAGACAGTAAAGGGTTTGGCATAGAAGAGATGCAGGAGTTGTGACATTAACTCTTTCTTATTCTGCATAAATCTGCCATTAGCAGGTTACAATAAATTTGATTCCCTAAAATCTGTGAATTCTCAGTAGTTGCTTAAAATCAAATTGGTTTCCAACTCTAACAATGTTTCCTATCCCCCCAATAGGCTATGTTAGAGAATTTATAAGAAAAATTAATTTAAATAGTCCTTGAAAGCACAACACTGAATGATTAAGGCTGTGTCAGGTAGTGGTTTGGGGTTTTGGGTTGTTTTGTTTTCCTTTTTTCCCCAAAACTATAATAATATGTAAGAAATAAAGATATTGTTTGCTGCTGCCATTGCTAAACTTACTGATGGCTCTGAGTGGGTGTTGCTTATTGTGTCTTTGCAAAAGAAATCACGAGTCACAGGCAAGTACTGTAGGCACTGTCACCAACCCGGGGAGTGGCAGTGTGCTGCAGGCATGGGGAGAGTAGTAGTTCTCTCACATTTTGGCTCCTCACTCTTCCTGCAGTCTTGCATTTGATATACCATTTAAACAGTAAAGAGAAAGGCTGCAAATTAGAAAGAGGACCTGGGGCTGAACTAGGAGAAAATACAAAAATAAGATGGATTAGGCAAAATGAAGAAACAGAAACTGAGCATACCAATAATGATAAGAGAATTATAGTGAAATTTGATTAGGGACCAGTTTATTACAACCCCCACCCCTAGTGTATTATTTCCCCACCTGTAGCAGCTGTGATGAAGGATAATGTTTTCCCATCTTCTTTTCATTCAAGTGAGACAAACAGGATCAGCAGCAAAGCTGCCTTTGGAACAAGTTTCTCATTCCACTAATCCATCAGCATTATCTCCGGTGTTGCTTCCTTCTCCTGTAAGCCTGCAGCAGACGTAGTTACATTGCAAAAAAACATGGAAACCACTTTGCAAGTAATTTCTGTCAGTACCATAATCTCACTTAAGAAATGCAACATTGACACTTGCACTGAGTCTGAGACATCCTCTCCCTCTATCCTGACCCACGATCAGTGACGTATGAACAATGAGAGGTGTCAACACAAGACAGACAAGAATTGCCAAAACCCCAGGACAAATTAAAAACTGAGCAGCCAGCTGAATGCTATCAAAATAAAAGGCAATAGGGTTAGAAGAAGAAATATGAACATATGAATGTTTTGGTCACAGAGATATGTGGGTAAAAAATCAATAACCAAGAAAAAAATTATTACCCTCCCTTCCGTTGAATGAAGATATAAAATCAATAAATAAACCAATAAGTGGTTGGATACTGCTATGACTTTGATAAGGAACTTAACTGTTACAAATACGGCTGTCCTAGAATGGGTGAAGATCCTGGGCATTATGAAAGGATGTAGCTGTCCTCTCTTTCTCAGTTAATACACTAAGAAACTGTTCTGTCCTTCAACCCAAGTTTACTGAAGCACTTCTTATCTTACTGTGGAATAAAAGGTAATGATTACAGTGTGGCTGTGTTTCTCAATTCTAAGCCTGGCCACCAGGGATCCAGAAACCTAACAAAGCAGTGACATTGATTCATTACAGCAACTTAAAGAAATCAGTCATGTTCTGGATGCTTTGTTTATTGTGAGAATTCATCAACAATTATGTTTATCTCTCTGCACATCATCTGATAGTATTGACTGGGAATGACGATGTTACCTGGGGTTAGTAGCAAATATGAAGATGTCTTTTTTTCGTCATTGTAAGAAACACAAGTTTCTGTGGGTAGAATTATCTCAGGACTTGTTTTCAAACAAGGGCTCTTAACAAATAGAGGGGGAAAAAACCCTTTAATGCAAAAATCAATTGAATACAGATTTGTGGCAAATAATCCCAAGATTAAGCTCGTCCTTTTGCACTGCTTGTGGCTAGTTCCTACTCCAGGCAGTAACTAATAGCTTGCAGTTTGGCCTTGACTTTTTGGGATAGCAGAACAGTGCTTAAAGCAAATTTGAAGGAAGAGGGATTTAGACACTGAAGCATACCCCTGAACCTCAGGTAACAAATGCCGGCCTGTGTCTGTGAAACACATTAAAGTAGCTTCAGGGCTGTTGTCACTCATGCTGCCTGCCTGTTCCAGAAGTGCTATTAGGGCTGCTGGAGAGAAGATGGAGTGTCTGGTAGCTTAGGTTTGGAGTGTTGGCACAGGCTCTTTTATGACGCGGCAACAAGTTGGTCGCCTATTAAGCCAGTAAAAATTGGAAACGGAGGCTCGTTATCTGGCTGTCAGAGTTTGAATGCACTCACTGAGTTTTGGTTAAACAACAGGGCCACTGTTCACAAACTTTCAAAATTCGAATATTCCTGAAAAACAAAGCAAGTTCTTTCCCTTTACTCTTCAATGAAATGACAGACTAGCTGCCAAATTTAACTCTCTTTTGTCATGAAATATGTGCCACCAACATTCACTCTGTCACTATAATATTCAGATTTGCTAATTGACGTCCTTGAGGGCTGTTAGGTGGGGAGCTGATGGTCAGAGTATGAATTCTTTCCACAATACTTTGTTCAGAGGGAGAGTCAAGATGATCAACCTATGTCTTGTGTAATATTCTCCAAGAGCAACACCTAGTTCAAAAAACATCAGTCTTACAGTTTTCTGACAGGACTTTTCTTTATTAAATTATCCTCCTAACTGCTGCCAAAAGCAGAAGTCTGCTATTAACAGAAGGCTGATGAAGAGCCCAGAAGGCAGGGTACTCTGCGAGCTTTGAGTATCCTTACTTTCTATTCCGAAATGTGTTCTTTAATCCTCTAAGCCCGTTCAAAGCCAAGTTTTTTCCTTAACTGCAAGTGGAATGTATATACACCATTTTGACATAAACATATGTTAGAAAAATTGAAGCACGTTAATACCCACATCCACCAAACTAATTTTTATGGCATGGCAATGTTTGACAAATAGAAAAGTTGTTGAGTTTTTTCAAGAACTTAAAAAGTGAAAGTAAATAAACCTATAACAAACCTTGTCTCTGAAACGGCAGGCTTCTGGCAACACAGAAAGTGCTCTATGCTGAAAAACTGTAAATTCTGGGAAAACAGGTATGTGAAACTCAGTAAGAAATAAAGGCAAAATTAATGCAGCATTTCAGTCCCTTTTTTTCAATCCATAAATGTTCCCATTTATGTTCTCATTTACGTAGGTGGTGATATCCTATAGCTTTCACAAATTGACACACAGCATATTGCTGTGCAGATGGAAGAAATAACCATGATAAGTAGCAACAGAAGTGTCAAAAAGACTTAAATATCACAGGACAAAGAATATTTTCTCCATCCTTGTGTATACCTGGGCACATATATATATATATGTGCTGTTAGCAAAGATAATCACGCTCTAACCCACAGCCCAATATGACAATAGTTATGTGATTTCTGCATGCAGGTTTTACCATGCAGCCTGCACTGTGGTTTGTTTCTACATCTCTTTAAGCTGTGTTTCCATCATTCCAAATCTGCAGTAGCAGATAGTGTTCCAATCTGCCAGGTTCTTCTTTTTCTTTTCTGTATCACAATGTTATTGTGAAATAACATTCACAATTAATGTTATGAATGTTATGAAATAACATTTCACAAATGGCAAGTATCTTTGTCACAAAAAGGAAACGTAAGAAAGGGTAACCTGTATGCGGGGAAGTCCAATCAATACTAGTCACTTGAGCAAAAAAAGAAAAAAAATTTTTACTCTTCCTTATTATTTTTCATCCATATTTAAAAAGCAGTGATAATCTATCCATGATGGATTGTAATGTTTTTCCACTCCCAGATTTATAAATAGGAATTTATAATGAAAAAGTTGTTAAAAGTATCATTATCTCAGACACATGTTCCTAATCAACAGTGCATTAATTAGCAGTACTGAAAAATGCATCAGAAGAGATAACTTTACTCTTGATGTCCCTGAAGTCATTCAACAGCTTCAGCAATAAAGTGGATATTAACGCAAATTACATGGATTTATGATCTATGGTGGTCATTTTTCTGAACATAAATAATTAAATATTACATAAGCCCTTAATTGTCAGGGAAGTTTTTTGGTTGTTCTTTTTTCATTTAAAAAGCCTTAGAAACCTCATATTTCCTTCTTGAGAGTGTAACGTTACAAGATATTAGTTGCTAGAAAGACTGTTGCATGGAGGCCTAACATGTCTTGTGAGCAACTCTGTACAAGCCACATCTGAAACACGCATCCTCTCCGGGGAGCTACTGTTCTCTCTGAACAGTACTCTTCTTCTTCAGAAGTTGGGTTTTGACGTTATAAATGGGGCTTATTTTTGCAGCTGCCAAAGTTAAGCCCTTCCAGGCATATTTGTAGAAAAGCAGGGCATTCAGAGTCAGACTTTGTTCATTTAAAAATGAAATGAATTAGGCAATGTGCTCTACATGTTTGTCCCAAAGGCTAGTATTATTGCAATTTAACCAATGGCTGTCATTTACTGAAATACCAAAACACATATTTAATTTTAATGTTACTGCCACATCAGAATTGATAAGTTAGGTATGCAAATTTGATTTCAAATGAGAAATTAAATGGCTAATCAGCTGATCGCTACATTCATAGTATGTCATTAGCATTTTTGGTCTTACATTATTATTTATCTTTGACTACAGGGTAGCTTTACTCTCACAGCATGTTATTTAGCCCAATTGCTATTTTTCTTTTTATATTTAATTAAAACTTGTGGGGAAAAAAAGGCAGTTGCAGGGGAAACCACCAAAATTACCGTTTTAAAATAGCCTGGTATATACCTTGCAGAAGTAGAAAAAATGCTGGATAAACATGTCTGTGGATTTAAGAAATTGCACGCATGGCCTTCTGCACACAGTTCTTTCTATTCAACTAGAACTTTCGTATTTGCCCTTGTGCGCTAAATTTATATGAATGGGGTAAAACAAATCAAAGACAATAACTACTTGATTTTTACTTTTCCAGTATTTGACCTTTGAATTGGTTATCATTATTTTGAGCATTCATCATACTCACATGCTGCCAGGTGTTCCATTGAACTCATAAGAGGTTAGTCCTTGAGCATGTTAGGGAAGGTTTTTCTTGTATCTTGTTCTCTAGTTTGATCTTTAAGATCTAATCCTTGGATAATTGCTCTCTGTGGGAAGCATTATGAGATTGTTGGAATTTTTTTCCCCGTAACTTATTTTTTTCTATTGTAGATGACTGGTAGAATGCTTAGAAGAATGTTCAAGGTTCTTATAAACCACTAACTTCTCTTTTTTAAAGGAGATCAGAATAGAGAAAGCTTGGAAGGAATATACATTTTCAGAACTATTCTTTTTGCTTAGAAACTCCAGCAATTCTTGGCTTGGAGTCAAATTTGTCATTTAGTGAGGAGCAACTTCTTTATACATGAAAACCCACACACACACTGATAAGTCAATGCAGACAGCTCACATGTCTTGAAATTCCAGAGTATAAATGCCCTGAAAGTGTCATTTTCTCTGAATGTGAGGGGGGGGGGGGGGGGGGTGGGTTTTCTTCCTGCCATTGTAGCTCTGGCCTGCAGTGATTGTGCATGGTCTACACCCCCACACTGGGTGGGTTGTGTGTTTCTCCAGTTCTCTTCCTGACCCTTGATCTAGCAGTTTGCAAGATTAAACTAACCAGATCCTATGCACAGGGGACAAGGCAGAGCTGAGACAGAGACACTGAAAAGGTGGGTGGCAAACAGAGTAAGGAACTTAGGCTGTGAGTCAGACTGGGGAGCAAAACTGGGAGTTTGGCATGGAGCTTTTGTCAGACATTTAAATGTTTCCAGGCAAGACCAGGAATCCCTGAGAACAATCAATGTGCTTGATCTGCCAAACAGCTTGGAGAGTGATTTAGGAGAGTGATCTAGGGACTGGTGAAATTGGAAAAAAGAAGATAAGGGTCTGAAAAGAAACTTCAGTGCCAGCAGGAGAGCTTCTCAGGCAGTGATAGTGGGGGGTGAAGCTGAAGGAGATAACTGAAATTGATACAGATTTTAGAATACAACTGGATGTCTAGGGTGGAAGACAAGGAAAATAAATCAAGCTACCAGAAAAGGAAAATGAGACTAGTTAATAAGACTACTGAATGAGAGAGAAGGCAGTGTGATAGTGAGCAGCAATGCACACAAGGAGAGGGGAGTTGGTTATGCAAAATGACCAGGAGTAGGATGAGAAATTAGAGTACTTCTGTGACTAATGAAGTGAGGAGATATGTCTTAGGAGCAACCAGGAGAAGGACAGAGGCAGGTTGAGTAGCATGGGCATGCTGAATCAAGCTTGGAGCAGGTGGGGAACAAAGCACGAAAGTCTATTCCCAGTAAAGCACACTCTTCTATAGAGCCTGGCACTGGACCCCAGATCCAGGGCATTTTGCTGTACTTTTCTTTCCAATATAGGCCAGGTGTCCGTGACTTTGCAACATATGCTACCCCTGCCAGTTTTCTCTATTTATAGAGATAATAATAATGATGATGTGGCAGAATGATCTCCTTTAGATATGATTGCACCTGATCAAAGACCCAGGAGGGTCTCGATTCCTACCAAGAGCTCAGACACCAGATACACATCAGGATTAAATTAAAGCTCATGTGTTACAGCATATTAGAGTATATAAACACTCGCAGTGTTCTGCATTGATATCTGTTTGACATTCTGTGCTTTTGCTGTGTTTGATAGACAGTACCAGTTCTCAAGCCAAAAATTATCATATCTACATGAGAAGTCAAAAGTTTGGTCCAGTTATGATCTGGATCATACTCTCACATGTGCAGTTGGGATTGTTAAGAGAATTTCATTTCAAGAAAACTGGGAACACCATGATGGCATACACAAAAATTTATTGGTAACAATAAGCCATTGAGAGAATGCTGTCCAATAGATCTAGATGCGGTGGGACAGACTAGTGTCAACCTTAACACTATACTGAATTTGTCCACACCTTGATAGTGGACCTCACGCTTAGTCCCCAGACACCTATACCTGTGACAGTGATTTCCCTATTCTAGCTAAGTGTCATAAATCTTGACAGTGCTGAATAACTACCTATGCACCTTACAACTAAATCTTGTGAAGATTCACAAATTGCTATTCTTTTGCCTGTCTTTTTTTTTAGGTAGCTATTTCAGAGCCCACCTATTAGATTAAGCTTTGCACAACACACTGGCAAAGGCACTGCCACCAGTACTTTTCCCAAATTCCAGCCTCTAGAATATGCACTTAAGTGTGGGAAATGTAGCTTTAATTATTAAACCAGGCGCTGTACTGTAATGACTTTAATAAAGGGTATTCTTTGGCTGAAAAAGCTCAGTGATTTCTGCTGAATTTTCCCCACTCTGACTAAAATACTTAAAACATTCAGTGGTAGTAGTATCAGAACTTAGATCTCTTGGTTTTGCACCTATTGCACATAACTGCATGTCCATGAATGCCCATTTATTAAGTTTGAGGTTTTTTCTGTTTCTCTAGTTCAATAAATATGTGTTTATTTCATGCAATGGGAAATAGTTCCATTGAGGGTTTTTGAATTAACAAGTCTGTGAATTTTGCTCTTAGATGTTGTGCTGGGAACATGAGGCTACAGAACCCCATAAATGGACTGGGATCAGTCTATGGAATCTGAGGTGTTGATCTATCCAGTGTTAAGCCAGCGGTTTGCACTGATACTCAGTGTTTTCATCCCTTGGCCTGACCTAGGACATGTACTTTGCATTCCAGGAGAACCATATGTACTTCACTACAATGGTTGCAGTAGCAGCTACACTTGGAGTGGATATGACCGTGCTTAAGTCTGAGTACTTTCAACATTTAGGCTCATTTCAGACTGAGCACCCAAATGTTGGGAGCACTCCACGCCTGAGTTCTTTGGCTAGCAGAGGGAATTAACAGTGCTCTTGACAGCTCTCAAGGTTGCCCCGAGCATAGCATGAGTGAAACATCCAAATGGTATTGTGGAGAGTACAACAGAAAAACCTTTAAGGAGATTAAACTTCAGAACAATTTGGTTTATGTGTAGTTCCTGAATCCAAAACCTGAAAAATGAGGAGAAGGGAAAACAATCACAGTCAGCTCATTAAGTGAGGCAGAGGAAAAAAAAAACATAGAATTGTTTAATTGGATATTACATCATGAGGTAGATGTGAATGATGTTGAGTACTCCAGCATTAATTTCTGCATTTCTAGACTTTGGAGTGTTAGACTTCATGACCTTTTAATGTAGATCTCTCTTTAATTTTTTATATACGACTTTTAAAATCTGACAGATGGCAAGCTTTTGCTATTATTATCCCTTTATTTCCTCAGAATGTAGCCTAGTAGTTTGCAGAATAAATACCTAAGGGAAATGTCGTTTTTTTCAGTGGTTGTATAAGTTAAAACCGCAGCATACAATATACTGTAAAGGACAATTCTGTAGTGCTAAGTCAGGGAACCATATGACTTCATAGGGCTTTTTCTGTTTGTGCTTTTTGTCGTTCTGGGAAAGGGAGTTAGCTTGTCTCTGTATTATACTGCTGCTCTGCCTTAGGGAAAGACTGGACTTGGACAGGATAAATTAACTTTCATTTGGATTACGTCTCTCTTCCTTTCTCCCAGCATCACATTTGAAGTTCCTGTGTGGTGTGATCAAAACGCATATGATGCAGAGAGTCAGTCAGCTCTGCTACCATCAGCACAACTGTATACAATACAGATGGTACTAGGGATTATGGAGATACTATCTGACCATTAAAGAGAAGTAAAGCATCCAGTTTTTAATAAAAGAGTTGTATCAGTGGGAGTGGAGAAACATTTTATCAGTGTAGACAAGGTAACACTTAGTAAAAAGCTTAAGGATTAATTTCTAAACTCTAGATGATGTGGAGAAAGGAAAAGGAAAGTGTTTGTCTTCTGAAGTCAAAAGCGTTTTCTTCCCAGGGCGCTGAACATTGTCACACAGCAAAATCTTCCTTTGGCTAGCATGCATTGCCTAACTCCAAAAATATTGCCCTAAAACAGGTTAGACAGAGGCTAAATCAGGTTTCCCAAAATTTGACCCTGCCTAGCACTGTCTTTGGAGCTAAGCAATGAAATTGAGAGCATCTCAATTTGTATGATGATGTATGATCAGACCCTTCCCTTCCCTTCCCTCTCTCTTTCTCCGTCTTCAGATGTAACACATCCCTTCAGTTGCAGTCTGTAGAATCTGTCTGGACCCTTTTTCGCTCTGTAAACTCAGCACATTCAGGTTTTGGTCTAGTTGGCAGGACTGCTGGCACATGAACTACTCTCAGTCCTCCTGATGTGCCTGGATTTGCCTGAAGGAAATGCTGTATGAACTAGTAAGTAGCAAGGGATAATCTTGGCAAAAATAATTTCTACTAGCACTGTGAAATTGGGCATGATTTCTTTGATTGCCTGTTTCAGAAATAATGTTTTTTCGAACTGCAGCAATGTGTGCATTGCCTACTCCGTTTAAGTTTTGAAAAACAATTATCATTCTGATGCTGTTTTCAGGTGCTTGTAGCTTTACTGAAGCATCTAAATTTCATTCTTCAACTTTTTCTGAAAGCTTCCCTACAAGTTATTTTTTCCACAAGGTAAAATGGGATAAAATCAAACTATATAAGTTTTAAAAGCATATCACTTCCAAAAACTGGGTAGGTTTCCATTGTCACCTGAATTAAAATTTCTGGCTAAGTAATAAATTCCTCCTATGCCACAGAAAACTATTTTTCCCTTTTTAATTCTGCCAGAAAAAGTTTGTCTTGTATAATAAAATAGTGATGCTGTTTCACGTGAACCTGAGCACTACTGTTTGGTTAACCTATGATCCGATACAACTTCCCAAAAGGATGATTACTCCAGAGCTGTCTAGACTTTTACAGGGTGTGAAGTGAGTGAAAATTCCCAGGGAGAAAGTGGAAGTTGATAGCTAATATCTAGTGTAATGGCCATAGGCTGTTTATTCTTGTCATATCATTAAAAAGGAAATATCCTGCATACAGTTAGTACTAACTATCCTCTGCTTAGCTAATGATAGCTAAAGAGTTTCACAACACCTTCTGCTGATGATCAACTAGAAGGATTTGGTGGTGTGGGGAAAACAGTGACTTGAGCAGAAAAGTGGAGCTGGAAATTTGATCATTTATACTTAATTTAATAGGAACAGACTATTTATTCTCATCCTTTTCTCTATTAAAGAAGAAATATCTTGCATATTAGGACTAGGTATCTACATCTTGGCTAATAACAGATCATGAGTCTGATTGTCCTAACCATGTCTCCACTGTTGCGTTCTGTCTTCTTATGGCAGCATAAAACTTCTCTACACAAAAGCAGTTTTACAAAGATGAAGTTAATGAAGCTATTTTAGAAAGTCTCTGAACTCTTTTCCAAAAGCTGCCTTGTGGATTTCACTGTTCCTTCATCCCAAGGCACACAGTTGTCTGGCCTTTACATCCAAACTTCTTTCTGCCATGGAGATGAATACATATGTCTGCTCT